TTTCCTCGTTTTTCTCGGAAATAAAGCCATATTTCTAAAAACGAAGCATACCACGATTTGTTTTGGCTATATGTCTACCTTATACTTGAATATAAGCGAAATCGATTTTTTGACTGTTGCCAGAAAATTTCGATTTTGTTTGATTTTTGCTGACATCTACTCTTAAACCTCGTCAGAAGTGTTTGCATAAACTACTGCGTGACCACTGAGCTAGACAGAATATTTAGCTCACAGCGTCTATAGCAACTATACAGAAAATAACACAACTCACTAACACTCGTTTGTATCCAGTTGTTGGTGCAAGAAAAATCGGTAAAGCTGTTCCATACATCGGTTGCAAGCGAACACCTGTGGTAGAACCGTACGATGTCGCTTCTGGAAAAACATTATGGAGAATGGATGTTGTCGAGTTGGTATGATAATATCCCCGGTCCAAACCGCTTGCTCGAGGTATCGACTTCAAACGATGAAGAAACGGTATACCAACTAGTGCTCAACTGGGTGCAAAGGTTGCTGACTCCAGGACTAGATCCTTCGCGACTACAGGGAATAATAGAGTCACTGGTCAACTCTCACTGGCAGTCGGCTAAAAGAATGGGTTGTCTGGGAGTACAGTTCACCTACATCAATGGATTCTACCATCGCTTTATTTGGAGAGTGGCTTAACTCGACCCTGATCAGCTTTTCTCTGTTTGGACTTTAACTTACCCGCCGAAAATTCCCGCGAAATCAAAGACACTCGGCGAAATTTACTAAAGGTGATTTTATATTCCTGATTGCCGGACAGTACAGACTTGTATAATTATATTTCATGTGTTGTTCAGTTCATTTTTTTTAGATATTTTTACTTACATGCAACATTGTAACAATTAATAATTATTTAGTAAAACGTCAGAAACTGATATCTAAAATTTCGAAATATTCGTAGCTTACAGTAACGTTTGTTAAATTGAAAATGATTTTGATTTATAAATCTCAACGAGAACTGATGTAAAAATTCTTTGTATTTGATATTCATATCGCTTTTCATAAGCAGATCCGGTCAAATCATGAGACTTTCATTTTCTAGATAAAACTAAATACTTACGAATATCAGTTTCGTTTGATCTTCTAGAAGTTATTGCAAAATTCATCACACAGATTTGAAATTTGAAAAATCTCTCTGGGACTTTTTTGGGTTAATCTGGAAGCTTATGCCAGAGATTTCTTTCGCGTATCGGTTGCAACACTTCGTTTTTCAAACTTCAAATTGATTTACATTCACCAGGTAAGGTGGATAATTTAAGTTGGTCCTCCGTAGCACATCATCTCATACTAGCTGTCGCATGACAAAGAAAAAACTTGAAGTTTGAAAACCTTAGAATCGTAAGGAATTTTGAGGGTTTTTTATTTCTACGACGGCGTCTCTGTTAAAATTTACAGTCGTTTATGTATAAAGCACGTTGCTATAATTGTGGTTACTAAGGAATGCACTCATCTTTCTTAAAGATAGCGTTGGTTGCTGTTTGATGTTGATCTTTCTTTGTCTTATCATTAAACTAATTAACCCAGCAAGCTATACTCATGTTGTTATTTTCCAAGTATAAAACATAAAATGGTCATACCATCAAAATATGAAAAGTAGATTGGTTTAGCAAATTAGAAAATGAAGGTTGTCATGTAAAAAAAAAAAAAGCAAATGAAAATATAAATTTAGGAATAAGTAGCAATGTAACCTTCATTCTTGCAGTTTATAATCTTTTTCCAATACTCAGCCGTAAAAAAAGGAAGATTTTCTGAGCAATCTGCAATGCAAGGTCGTACGAATTTTTTAAAATTTTTATTCAAAAATATTGGATAATTAATTCCTATTTGGAGTTTTATTCTTTGTTTTTTTTTTTTTTTTTGTTTTTTTTTTTTTTGGGAAACAAATAAAATAGATGACTGAAAGATGCTAAGAACTGCTAGGGATCCGGCGATGTAGACTATATCTCTTTCATAATCACTGCTGCCTTTTAAGAGTTATAAAACCAATACTACAAGCACTCGTGCAAGTCAAAACAAGTGTGTGTGTGTGAGATTAGCTACACTTGCTCACTCGTCACTGACCAGCGTATAAACGAAGCATATTACGAAGTGTTTGTAATTAATTCTCTGGCTTTCAGTATGAGATACGGCAATGAAACACAATAAAATATAAATATTTCCCGTTGCTGTTCGTTTTTTGTTCCTCCCTACCCATATTATCTATATTTCTATCTTTCCGTTTCTTTCATTTTTTTTCCTGTTGATGGAAAGTCACGATCAGCTGTGTGGTTAATCGTAGCATATTTAGATTAACAGATGGAATCAGCGGCTTGGTAAATATTCCCTGATATACACTTCGCCTTCGGCAAGCAATTGTTAGATGTAAATGATGCGAGGAAGCGATGACAATCTGTGGTTTTACCACTTGGTGTGTGGATTCAAGTCTGTGGTTAAACGCATGATAATAATATCGTGCATTGTTCTTGGATAAATACACTGGAAGTTGAGCAGTAAACACTGTAGGTCGCATTCAAATAGGGAAACTGGTTATAGAGAGAAACTACTGCTATTGGCTGTCACATGTCGAATAAAGGGGTGAAAATTGGTGAGCAGTAAACATCGTACCCTGGTCCCAGAGGCTCGACGATTTTTCTCGCAGCTCGCTCGCCATTTCACGGCTCAAAATACGTGGCCGGGAGAAAAATCGTCGTGCCTCTGGGACCAGGGTATAAACATCGTAGGTCGCACTAAAATATTGAAAATTTATAGAAAAAAAGAAGAAAAAAAAATCGACAACTATTATTTACTGTCACGGATCGAATGGATAAGAGTTAAAAGTTGGTGGGACTAGGTTTACATAAAACCTTTCCTCTGATCTCGTAACCATGGCAACTGTATGTTAAATGTTTCCAAATCACTTGGATGATTAGTACCGTAAATTTCATTCGCATACCGGTCAGTGGCGTAGGACGTAGCGAGAGGGTGGGGGTACAGGGGCCAGTGAAATCCCAAAAATGTTTGGAAATTAGAACGAAGGCATTTAACCCGTGAAATAAAAAATACTAGTCAACGTGTAATAGTCAAATAGACACAAAAGAAAACAATGGAATTAGGGTCTACTAATGTGTATTAGTCTAATATCTATTGCACGGGTTTAATGACTTCACTCTAATAGCCGAAATATACAACAAAAAGTAAAATACTCGATGATAAATCGGAAAAGAAGGCCACAAGTTCATCAGTTTTACCCTCATGAAATAAAGTTGGTTATTATTATCAAAACAAAAAACTTTAAATGTTTGAATTTCCTTATAAAGATTGAATAAAAATGTTTGTTGCTTTTTCTTAACTTTTTTATTCTCAGTGCTCCCCATCCCCTCCCCTCCTCCAATTCCTGGGACCTCTCTATGCCCCTTATACTGGTATAAATAATAAATTATGCATCAACATAATCATTATTATTTATTTAAAAAATAATAATAATTACAACCATAATGAAAGCAAAATATACAAGAAATACCTAGGTAGATATGGAAAGGTAAGTGATAGTGCTAAACCTAAGAAACCCAACAATGTTTAAACCATTGCTTTTAGAATATTCTGGTGTGAAGGGAATACCAAGAAGTTGTATGTTAAAGGGATGATAGGGAGGCACAAACAGGAATTTTGCTAACTTTGAAATGCATTATACTTGCTCAATTTCTTTTGCGGCATAATACAATGCATTCAACAATTAGTATATGTAATAGGACTCCATGCTGTCCAATAAGAAATAATTGGACGACGAAAATTCCAAGGACTGACAAAATTGGATGAGGCCGTAGGCCAAGTCCAATTTGGCAGTCAGAGGAATTTTTTGAGTCTAATTATTTCTTGATTGGGGAGCATGAAATCCCATTACCTATTAATTACATAGCTGCCTAATTAATCCCATATCGACAAGACCTGTCCAATTAAGAAAATAATTGGACAGTTACCTATATGGGATGAATGAAAAGCTGTACAATTAAAATGATTAACGTATTGAAGTGGGGTTATGAGTTACAACAATAGGTACTAAGGTTTAATAGCAGGGATATAAGAGCATAGTTTTAGTGCGCTTGCACGTATATTTGTCAAACTTCAGGGTTACAGTATATTTATCATTTGCTATTGGCTAGCTATTGATGGGCTGCAAGCATTCCCAAGGGAATTAAGAGACAAAAACATAGCGGCTATTGTGGTGCCATTAACAATGGATGCTAATGAGAAATCTTTCGTTAAATGGTACCAACATGGCCGTGATGACGTTAACATGCAATCAAAGAAATAAGTGTAATGACCCCCTGCCTAATAGCTCCCCTGACCATTCAATCCTGCACAATATGTACACCTATATTCTTAATGTCATTCAAAGCCATTCTCAGTGTCGACACACAACGCTCATTCCCCACTAAAATTGGGAGTGGGTGTTGCGTGACAACACTAAGAACGGCAGCAGGGAAGCCGACTCCTATTATATATATTCTGTACCAATTTAGATCCTTTTACTTTAAATCTACATTATTTTTATTGGATATATTTATTTACATTTCAGCAATGTGTTATTCTTTCTACAAGGATATGACCCCATTGAACTGCACAACTGGTGACCTATTATCATCTTTTATCAAATATATAAAAAAATTTGGAATGATAAGGTTGAGGATGATAATGTAAATTATCAAGATGTGAAGGCTGTGTTATAATGTGCTGAAGCCTTATTACATGTATTTAACATTAAAATTGTCAGTGATTTTTCATTCTGATGAAGGCTACAGTATCACTAGTTATAGCCGAAAAGTCATGTTTTTTATCAAATCTATGATTTGATTTCCGAAATCCTACATTCCATACTGTATTATGGCAAAACGCGAAAGCCTCAAAGATACCAATGTTATATTGTATACTTAAAATTAGGGTTTATTTCCCTTCTGCGAAAATAGTGCGCCATGTTTCAATGGACTATGAATGTGACCTCGAATAAAATTGACACCATGGATAAGCAAATGAATGCAAAAAAACCTATTAAGTGCACAGATTATTAAAAATACACATTATGAACAAGTTCAAATGCCATTGAGGATTGGTTAATATATATTCTCCGCAAATCAGAGCCAGGCTAGATAGTGAGTATACTGTATGGCATTGCGGTTATCAAGACCTTGGCTTTTCTCTTCAGCTGTCTTTGGCAGATACTGTAACCAGCTTCAGGCTTGATAAGTTGATGATATCTTACTCAATGTCTTTCAGTTATTGTGTAAGGGGCCCTCATCTTATGAACTATTGAATCCCCTTCCTCCCTCAACCCCTCCCCCCTAAGGTTACCTGTCACATATTATGTTCCTTTTTGAAATTCTCTAAGTCATGGTCAGACAGACCACTAATCTTCAGTAGTTCTCTAAGCCCCTTGTTTTCCATTTCCAGAGCTGCTAACCTCTCTTCTTCAGCTTGTACAGCAGTGTCATCTATGGATATTGCTTTGGACATTATTGCTGCCATCTCACTAATCTGTTCTGCTTTTGCTTGTAATTCCTAAAATCAGAAATAACCAGAGTCAAAAAATCTTCAATTTTTCTTGTCAAACTTACAACTTTTTGTTGTTCAAACTCAAGACAGAAGTTCATGATAAAAATGCAGAAATGCCAGAATGAATTGGATTTTTTGAGTTGACTCTTTGTGGAGGAAGAAAAACAAGAAAACCTGAAAAAAATCAAAATCCTCAAAGCACAGGAAAGGTCTAACAAACTCTGTGAATTACTGTACATATGACACTGAGCCCAGGAATCAAACCTGAATCACAATAGTGAGAAGTGGCATATTACATGTAGCAACACACCACACATGTAGCAATGCGTAGTCAGGTACTTTGTAGGTTTGGGGAGGGGGAAAGAGGAGGAAGGGGAGGAGAATTTGGGAGGAGGGATTGCCCCAAAACGCTGTTACATGTATGAAGGCTAGAGCTATGCTTCTCATTTAACATTAACTGTGAAATTTCTGAGGCATTGCACACAACAGAGTTTTAAAAAATGATACATAAGATTGAAATGATGTGTTGTTCTCTCCTATGCTACAAGGGTTTTCTCTGCGTTCTCCGGTTTCCTCCCTCCGTAAAAATCAACATGTGAGTTGAGCGTTGTGTGCATAGAATATTGAATTTAGTGGTAGAGTGAGTGAGTGAAAAGTGTCCCCAATTAGTGGGAGAGGGCTAGAACCACTAGACACTTTACTAAAAATGACTTATTTTATTTATTTTAAGCAAACCTTGTAGTTATTTAATGCCATAGAGCAATCTGACTCAATCTCTTTGGTTTTCACTAGATTCAGAACCTGGAAAGAAAGTTTGAACAATCAATCCTTTGCTACAAAAAATAAATGATTCATAATATATATATCACCTTTTTATACATGCATATAACATACGCTCGTACTGGTATGAGTGGGTACCATACTATTTATAATCAAAAGTGCTTAATTGGTTATGAATCAAGAGGTCTTCAGATAACTGCCTGTAAGCTGCTGGTCATGATGACCAGCCAAATTAGTTTGAGCTTAGCAATACCTTGTTTCTGGCTTAACGTTACAGGTCAAAATGATTGGCAAGGCGATGAAAGATTTAACTTAGTAACAAGTTGCAATTCTGGGCAGACATTCTTTAAGTGAGAAGTATGTACATATTTAATGTGGTTTTAAACACTGAGGGTGGTCACTTCCAAGGTTTCTTTAAATCATCAGTTGGTAGTCCTTTTGGCATTGGTTAGAAATGTCATGAAGGATACGTTGGGGAGGAGAGATCAGCTAGGGACTGGCAGTCTGGGGAGGCTAGTTGAGCACCAGTACTAAAGAGTTTTTGGGCACTCACCCCTTTTTTTAGGGTTCTGTATGGTGCTTCAAATCCCCACACTCACATTTTCCACTTCATTCCACCAACACTGTGGAGTGCGGAGAAACAGGGCTGCCATTGAAAGTGGTTTTCTCAGACACTTAAAAGTCTAAGCATTAATTTTGTAGATGTCAATCAAAAGTAAAGTTCTCACCTGGTTTCTATATTTAGCCATTATTAATTCCAAGGCAGACTGATATTCAGCAAGAGAGGTCTGGAGTTCGATGTTTTCCTGCTGTAATTCACGTATCCTTGCATTTTCTTCCTGACTTCCAAGAATGAGTGTGCTTCGAGGCCTGTGATTGGCTACTTCATTTAATTCTGTTACTTCTTCTCTTAACTAGACAATTATGAAGAAGGAAAAACATTACTGCTACATTAAAAATTAACTCATGTTGATTTTTACTGAGAGAGAAAAACCTTGCAGCATAGGAGAGAAAATCAATCAATCAAACTAAACTCGCATATGGGTAGCATGGGTGGCATTCGCTGCTAAAGCGTTGTCTTTCAGCCGCTGTGAGTCCAAAGAGTCGGGTCACTGGTTCGAGTCCTGCGGTCGCCACATGTGAATTGAGTTTGTTTGATGTGTTGTTCTCTCCTATGCTACAAGGGTTTTCTCCGGGTTCTCCGGTTTCCTCCCTACATAAAAATCAACATGTGAGTTTAGCATTAAGCTTTGAGTGCATATTAGGAGGCAGCATGGTTGAGTGGTCATAGCGTTGGTCTCGCAATCCGGCGGCACTGGGTTCGAGTCACGCTGAGGCCACTACCTGAGACTGTATTTGACCTGATCTCTGATTAGTTCAAACTCAGTTTCTTGAGCATGCTTGTAAATAGCCAACTGGTTTGCCTCCTTGCCAGTTGGGATTCTTAAAAACACATGTTTCTTTAACAGTAATGATAAAAAGGTAAATTATACACCGTGAAAAGACAAAAAAACTTACTGATGTTTCAGACGATAGTCCTTTGCTGGACTAGTCACACTAGTTTTTAGTTAGTTATCTCTTCTTATGTTTCCTTGATTATTTCTTCATTTCTTTATTTTGTGTCACCAATTAGTGTATTACTATCATACTAAATTATACTGACACTTTAATAAAGTTCATTATTTTTATTATTACACATTAAATTTGCAGAAGTGCTATAACAACTAGACACTTAAAAATACAGTAAGTCCAGCTTAAATTTTTTTCAAAAATGAGAAAAATCCACAACTTGTCTGGACCTATCGATCTAAACCTAAACCCTGACTCATGCTTTGGAGATCTAGAATAAAATGGGGAAAGCCATTGAGGGAAAAAGGAATTCCTGTGTTTATATGTAGAACGATCGACACATTTTTGGGGATGTATCAGCACTGTTTGTCGACAGACAAAGAAGATATGCTGTAAACCAGTTTTCTTTTGGTCTTATAATATATAAATTCAAAGGGTCAAATTTAAAAGCTACAATTTTGATTGAAAATTATAAGACCTCGTTGCTTTTGATAGCACTTAACCCTTGAGAGAGAATAAATTCCAATAAAGAAGCCAAATATATGAAGAGGGAGCATTATTTTTAATCTTAAACAGTGAAAAAGTTGTTGTGCTGAAGCTTACTTGCTTGAATGCCTCCATTTTCATGTTTAAAGTATTGGCATCTTTAATAAGACTATCAGCAATGGTTTCTTGGTCTCTTAGATTCTTCACCAGCCGCTTAGCATCTAGTAATAACTGTTCCATGTCGTACCTACGTGTTTCGTACTTATTAAGATGAGTCTCTGTTGATATGAATTAAGCGAAGAAAAACTTGTGTTTCAATCCGCCATTTTGCCGTGTCAAAATACTTTACTTCAGGTAGCTGCTGACCAATAGCACCAAGTAATTCAGTACTACTGTATTTATAATAAAAATACTACCTGTTTATTTACAGGTGTCAGGATGGCCGAGCGGTCTAAGGCGCTGCGTTCAGGTCGCAGTCTACATCTGTAGGCGTGGGTTCGAATCCCACTTCTGACATACTTTTTTTAATTTCTCCTTCTTTATTTATTTATTCTTTTATTTTGTAAATTCCTCGACTTCAACTCAAAGTTTTTTAAATTCTAGAGAACTTAATTTTCATGTTAGGTTCAAATTTATTAAAAATATTTTTTAATGTTTTTTTTAAGAAAAGTGGAGAGGGGTACTTCACGACTAATCAAAGATTGCCTTGATCTAGAAAGTTTTTATTTCGATCTAGGAACATCTAATACTTAGCTCATAAAGCCTCATGCCAAAGAACTGCCAAAGGCATTGCTGGTGACTTCAAATATTGGTTTCCCTGTGGTGGTTTTGGCGAGAAAATACGCGAGCGTCATCTATAATTTCTGCAGTCTGCAGTAGCCATTGATGGATCGGGTTGTGGTTTTTTGTGGCGTGATTTCGAGAGTTTTCTCTACTACTTTTGAATGAAAATCGCCGTGAAAAAGCTTTAAGTGAAGTAGGTCTTATCTAAAAGTGTTTATCAGTAGCAAAAGCTTCCGTAAATTTTATTTTCATCAACTTTGTGGGGCTTGTATTCGTGTTCAAGGAGGTAAGTTTAAGGCTTGATTAGCAGTCTTTTTAAAACGGCGAGAACATTTGTTGAATTGATTTTTAAAAACACTCCTCTCTAACGCTATTAATATATATATGGTTAGAGGTCATTTTTAATATTATTTGAATAGGTTCTTATCAGTTTAGTTTGCGTTGCCTCTTGTTTTCATTCGCTCACTCGTTCGCTTCGCTCATGTTCACTCGCACAGATAACATCTCAAAGCTCGAAGTTGTTTCCAGTGGCGGATCTAGGGGGGGGGATTGGGGGTTGCAAACCCCCCTATGAGAGCCATCGTGATATTTCATTTATTATCTTTGGTTTTTTTTTTCATGACAAAAAGAACGGCATCGCGAGTTTTATTAAAACAGGGGTGCCGAACACATTTCGCTGGGGTTTTTTTTCTATACGCCGTGTGTAGGACCTTGAAACAACCATGCTCGCCTGCTGCAAATAATTGTCTCCCTAACCCTTTGGTCTGCTATATCTCTCCACCACCTCAATCAATGCTACAACCCCACCCTTGAAAAAATCCTGGATCCGCCCCTGATTTCCTTATTTCCACGAGGCCATGTAATATCGTCTACATATGTGTTTAATATTTCAGGTTAATTTATTCAATCATTTTTGCAGTGCTGCTTGGACTGATAAATATCTATAAAACTATTAGTACTTTTACAAGCATAAAAATCCTTTTCATGCGCTCCTAAAAGCACTGAATTTAGTCTCTGCGGCCATCTTGAATTATGCCGGATGCCGAGGCGGCAAAAATTAGAAAATTCTTATAAATTATTACAGAGGGAGGGGTTCCTCTTTATAAAATAATCGAAAGTCTTAGTGTTTCACATCCGAGTTGTTCCAGCAACTACCAGCAAATTCAATTGCTTTTTAGATGTGCTTCTTATTGAAAAGCAAAAAGTCATATAAAAAGACTCCCTAACAGCTATCTATATATTTTCCAGTAGTTATCCCTTCGGCATCCCATATAAAACGTCTTAATTCAAAATGGCCGCCGTAGCGTAATGGCCACGGTTAAAAGGCGTGTATTGCTGGTGACTCCACGTATGACTTTATCTGATTAAATCCATCTAAAATACAATACTTTTATCTCCTTTTCTACATAACGTTACTAAAATGTCTGAAGTGAATTTGTACAAGTGAGAGAGTTGGTTGAATTTGTGTTGATAAATAATGAGTTATAAAATTAACAAGCAAATCAACCATTTTCGAATTCGTGAGATGCTGCCGTCTTCTTGGATTTTTACATGCAGACTCATTTGCATTAAAATATTCACAATTTCCAACAGTAAAGTAAAGCAGCGCAACTTCAACGATGCAAGAGACTTTGAAATTCCACAACTTCATCACTGGATGAAACACATGAGTATTTTAAACAAAATTGAAGCTAACCCCGAGCAACAGAAAATTCGAAACTAGAGCCATTTGCTAGTATGTCATAGGTTATCTCAATGGAAAGTATTTAGAGCACTTGATTCTGTGATAAAAATCATGCAGATTAATTTATAATTTTGTATATGCCGATGTTCATAGACTTAATAAGTGGTTTTGGAATTCTTTTAAGTATCTCTTACTAATCTAATTTCCCCCCTAATCTTTGAATTCATCTGTGAACAAAAAGGTAAAATGCACAAAAAAATAGTTCCTTTATGAGCAAATCTCAAAACAGACCCTTTTTAGCTTGGCCGTAATTTTACCTATTTGAGACAACGTGTCATTGCCTATTCTTGACGAGCGTTTAAAACATATGAATGTGAAACAAACAAGTTCCTTTTCAAGAGAATGATACTTTTTCAGTTCTGACATGGGAAAATGATGTTCCCCAAATTTAACACTTCGATTGCTTGTGTTGATTAGAAAAAAAAATATTGTTCTTAGATTCTAGATCCATGATGGAAAAGGCTAGCTATCTAAAGAATGAAGAAAAATTTCCCTCATTTGTCTATTGAAAATTTCTTTAAATTCAGTGAGCCTCGTGCTCTGACATGCCTTCTTTCTTTSTTTCATTCTCTTACTTTTGTTATTCCAATTGTTCACAATAGGAAGGACAAGATGTCAAGAATTCTATAGTCTACTTTACTATAATCTTCTAAAATGTTCTAAAAACTAATCTATACTAATAATACGTTTGTTTGATTTGGGCAAGTCTTTCAGATGTTCGTCGTGTTTGATGGATTATACCTTGTCCTCTGCGTCGCCATACATTGCCTATAAGAGAAAAATGGCTTATAAGTACTAGAAAGATGAAATTAATAACCTCAAATATTTGAATTACTATATTTATTTTCTTATTCGTCGTTAATGAATTCATCTGTCTATCTATTTCTTTTTATCCACCCATTCCTTGTTTGCTTGCATGCTTCCTTTATTCCTTTTTTACTTCCTTGCTTCATTCATTGGGCCTTCCTTCCTTACCCCTCCCTTTATTCCCTAATTTTTATACTCTCTTTTTTATTTTATTCTCCCTTTCTCCCTTTCTTATTTATTTATTCTTTTTTTTTTT